TCCCACCCTCCCTCCCTACCATCCAGCATAGGCCATTGCATGTTGTAACTGTGACTGTACAGCTGTTTTGTACAGAAAGAAAAAGAAACTAACGTTGTGTAATGCATTACAAATAATAAACTAATGTGGTGAATTTGTGCAAAGGATTTTGCTGGTATATGAATTAAAAAAATCCAAAAGATCATCCTACAATGTGACACAGTTGTAAATGTCCCATGGACACATCTGGAGCAGATGCAGGCACTGGGGCTCTGGTCCTACTAGGTAAGTAGTGAGGAGACTCTGCTGAGGTGCATTGGTTTGAGGTTTGGTGTCTTCTGATGTTTAAGCTCTAAATGTCTATTTTTACAAATCTGACAGCTCAATCAGCTGAGTTTTTCTTATCCACATTTAAAAGCTTTCCAGCCCAACTCTGGAGTATAAACAGAAAAAAGTACCAGTTGATTTGCAATTTTTTAAAGCACTGTATTTGTGAAAGGGGTCCTTTCTGTCCCCTCCTGTCTTTTTTCCTCCCACACAAGTTATTTTTTCAAACAAAGGAGGAGAATCCATGATTCTGTTTCCCCTCCAAACTCTGTCTCCACACAAAACAAACCCCTTTGGAAGACCTTCCCCATGCTCAGAGCCTACACCCATCCCAAGTGCTGTTTTGTACATTTCAGTAGAATGTGAGTCATTCAGAGCTGATGTACTCTTACCATGAGACTGCATTTTTGCAGTTTCAGCCATCAGACTGTTTTTATTGAGATGTCACATACACACGCCTTGCCACAGATCCATGGGCCCCTATACCCTCAGGATGTGTGGCACACTGAGAGGCTGAGATAAACAAGGAGGCAGCTCCCTGTCATGACTTTGGCATGGTAAGAATCTTGTCTATCCTCATTCCAACAGCAATCAATGGCTTTATGGGCCTAACCAACACAGTGGTAGACAATGTGCCTCCCAACAGTTTAAACATTGCCTGGCTTTTCCTCAGACTCCTGAAGGGGAAGAAACAAATCTGGCAGCTCATAAAGTCAGATACAGCCCAGTTGCTAAGGTAACCCAGCTGATAAGAGCAGCACACCAATAGATAACACCAGACACAGGACTCACCTGCCTTTAGATTTCAGCATGCTGTGGATTAGTGAACAAGCCTTTCAGTCCTAGAGCTGGTACAGAAAAAGACACTGGGAGCTGGAAATCTCAGAGACCTGCTCAGCAATGTATTTCCCCTCACAAGGAATATCCAGAATTGTATTAGTGAGTTTTAAGTGACTGAATCGAAAGTGAGGTAAATACTACCATGTAATTAGCGTAATTTGGATGTTTCTAAGACAACCTCTCTGTGATAAAGGTTAGGATGAAACCAACCCTGTTATAGTTGGATAGTCCCATAACTACCTCTTGCACCTTGGGGAAGTATCTTTTACAAGATATCAAAGCCCTAAAATGCTTGATAACAAAACCTTTACAGTCAGAGATTCATGGGGAGTAGAATTTCCAGTCTGCAGAAGGGCTAATTTGAGGCTCCCCTTGGTTTAAACTGCAACTGTGAAGAGGACAAAAAAAAAAAAAAAAAAAAAAATCCTTGGAGACGGTTTTTGGAGAGCCAAGATAGACTACTGAAAAAAATTCAGAGCTAAAAGTAAGCCATACATAGAATGCCTGCTTGCTACAGTTCAAGTTAGGACCTGGCTACCAAAAGTTGATCCTTTGAATTAGCAGTTCCAGTAGGGAAAATTCTCCATTACACTGCCCTGCTGAGCTCCCCTTTTGAGGTATTTTAAATATTTTTACATGCTGTTAACTACATGACTACTGATGCCTAAGTTACTTTGTTTATCCCTTGCCTTTTGTGTCTTTAGAGGGGATGCAAACCTGTTTCTTGATCATCTCAACACGATGACCTCTAGTTCTGACAAAGTTACACAAAAGACTTGTGCACATTGTGTTGAGAAGATAGCTAACCATAATTTTCAAAATCAACTCTAGCCAATGATGAATAATATATGTGACCTTAATGAGTAATATAAAGATACTTTATGCCTCTGGCTTTGTTAGAAAAGTGTTAAATGGCCTAAGGTAATAAGACCTTCAACTTGAAATCTTTTGCTGTAAAAGGGAAAGTGCTTTAACAGTAAAATTAATATTTTGAAAAATGGTATTACATAAAAAGGTAGGAAAGATTAGTCAGCCAGTGAGTAGAGGCCATTATTTTGTCTGACAGAACGTCCAGAGCTGTATTGATTGACCTCCTGAAAAGAGAGAATTTGTGTATAGCAGCAAGCAAAAACATTGTTTTCTTTCTCAGCAGCAACTAATTGCATGCTGCATTTAAAAACACACTCAATCTACAAGTGAACAGATTAATGAGGCTGTGAGGTGTCTTAAGTTGAGGGAAAATTCTTTCTACAATATAAAACATCTGAGCTGGGAAGAGAAGATGTTCTGGAGCACAGCCTAAGGTTTTAGTCAGCAGCCTACCAGGCTTCCCTAGTAGCTCCTCATTACTATCTCCCCTGAAAAAATCACTTGCATGCAAGTGGTTAAGCCATAGGAAGTCAAGGCTCTTTTCACACTGTAAACAACTGAGTACTTAGCTCTGGCACTGGACTATTGGTAACTCTTTTCATTGCCCAACCCACCAGTCATCCTCATCAAGAAAATGGAAGCAATGCCAGTGATTTCTAAAAAAACTCCTTTAAAGAATATATCAGCATTGATGTACATTTGCAGTTTAAGAGTCATGTCCTCACACCTTTCATGATCTCTCTCACACTGAAGTGGCAAGCATGGTTGGTCAAGCACCTCCATGTCAACTGTGGCAGTAAAGGTAAGGACATACATAGAAAATACATTTATGATGACATAAAAATAAATGAAATCACTTATTGGCAAGAGCTGTGAGATGAGTGGCAAGCAGGTAGAAAGGTACTTTCTTTCTTGAGTGCCTAAGTATGCTGCCATTGAATTCAACAGCTCCAGTGAAGTTGACTTCAGGCATGAAGCATGGGCTGTCTAAGTACTTGGTAGTAATCCAGTTTTTATCACCTTTAAATTAGCTGTAAGCTCTTTAGAGGGTGTCTCTACAGTTCAGGGGCCATTACAATCCAACCAGAGGAGCAGCAGCTTGCGCCTGCACATCAAATGAGGCATGTGAGCTTTTACAATTAAAGGACTTGGGCACTGATGGAAGTATGCTGGCCAATTTATCAGCAGAAATCTAATCAATCTAACCATGAGCTCTGTAATTCCCCAACCCTGGGCCATAAAACACTGCCCTCATCTGAACCAAATGCTTGAACAGACTCCAGGTTTTTCTGGCATGAAATAATTCACCAGCTATTTCAGGTATGCCACCCTTGCTTGTGGGTCTCAGCAAAGCCACGGGCTTGCAAATGAAAGCACCTATGTCTGTAGATACAGCCTTTGGATAACATTTTGAATGGCTACACATACTTGCCAAGCAACTATGTTAGGCCCATATTTTCACGGGCTTGGGCTCTGTTGCCCTACAAACAACATAGGGATATAAAGGACATGAGAATTACTGGGGCTGGTGTCACTGGACCCACTGCATAATGTGCAGAAACCAAAGATTCCCAACTATGTAAGAAAACCCCTGAGTTTAAAGTAAAAAAATTACACCACCACATACTCTCCATATTTTTTCTTACCTTTATTTCAGACTAGGGTTTATTCTTAGAGAATGTTTCTGGAAAATAAAAATTATTTTGCCTTGATGTCCCAAAAACACTTTGTGGGAAGGAAATCTCCAGTGATGTGATCAGTAGAGTATTTTCTCTGCCATAACTTTATTTATTAACTTGCTGAGAATTTTGTGGGTAATAAAAATCAAAAGGAGAGAGACAAATCTCAGCCAAGCAAAAATGTCAGAAGATTAACTTCTGTAACTCATCTTTCTGTTAGTTAGATCATGGTCCTTGCTTGATCTTGACTAGATGGTAAGATATGTATCTTTGGAATTTAAAGTGGCAAATCTTAGGAAAATAGATTATCTTTCTCATTAAAGCTGAGGCAGCACTACATCTGCAACAAATTTAAGGCATGTAAGGACAAAAAAGAACAAGGTGTTTGTAGCTCTGTGGACATGTGTAATACCCCACAGGAGCTGAGGATCACATTAGGTCACTGCTGACACAATTGCATGGAATCTTTCTGGGTGTGGTGTGCACATCTCTCAAAAGAAATTGGTTACTGGGGCATCCAGTGCATTTCTGAAGTGGTTGGATTCCCCTTCTCCCTCTCCCTATTTACAGTTCCCTTTGGAGTACAAGAAACATTTTCTGTAACCTCAGCTTCCTGATTCAGCTCTTGTGATGTCAGTTATTTACGATAACAAAAGTGAGACAATGCCTGTGGTTTGTGTGGGACAAAGCCAACCTTGTTTCTGTAAAAAGGGACAGTCCTGATGTGAGAAGCCCAGGAAAGGCTACAAAGTAGGACTCAGAGGTGGTATTTCATTAGTCTTGCCAGCTTCATAATGGGCTTGACACTGCAGTATTTCAAAGGTCACTGACACAGGGTTTTTTCCTTTCCATAGGAGTGCACACTGATGTGAATGGAACTTTTGGAAAACTCTCTCTTTGCAGAACAAGGCTTCAGAGATAGGTATCTTGGGAAATGAATGGATTGCTAGTGGGTGGAGAGGCAGCAAGTGTCAGTATGCAGATATTTCAATACTAATTACACATTCTGTGGTCACAGGCAAGTCATTCTGCACCTCTGCTTACCTGTCATGAAACTTGTTTATTAATACTGCACTGCCTAAGCCACAGATGTAGTGAAACTTGTAGAATGCCAGTAAACTCTTGATGTCACAGAGTAGCGAAAGGAAAGAAGAAACTCTTAAAACAAAGCATGGTTAGTTAAGAATGAAGAGAATCAACTTTGGTGTAGCCTAGAGAACATCTCTTACCTGCTATCCTGCCGATTGGCATTGCATGATCCTCAGGGGGGGAGACAGACACCATGATGTGGTTCATATAAGCTAACTCTTCTCGGTGGGACAGGTTGATGGGCTTGACCTCCCTGTGCAGCCCATCCTCAGACAACCGCGGTGGTTTGAAATCGGAGTGCCTGGGGTTCAGTATCAAAGGATGCATGATAGGGCTGGGCATCAGCTGAATGACCCTGGTGTTCTCCTGCCGAGGGCTGGAGGGCTTCTGGAGCACCTCGGAAGGAGGCGGGCAGTGGTTGTTTTCTATTGGGGACACTGAGAGAGGATAGGACTCCTGCTGGTTGTTCTCATGCTGGTGCCTTGTCCCTGGCACCCTGTCGGCTGGGGACAGGTGGCGGAGGGTGCTGTCCATGGGGGACTTCAGTGGCCGCTGGTCAGGGTCTGGCGACGGACGGTGGTTGTTGGTGATGGGTGACCGTGAGCGATGCAACAGTTCAATGGTTGGGGGGTTGTGGTGGATTGCTTCTGTGGATGGCCTTGAAGGTCTCTGCACAAAGCTATCTGTGGAGAAAAAAAAAGTCCCCAAAATACAGACTGTCTATATTTTGATCAAGGTATAGGATCTACTACTGACAGCTTGCAAATGTTTTTTATTTGTGTGACCTATAGATGCCCAGAAAAGTACTGCATAAATACAGATAGTTATTATTTCCACACAGAACGAAAACAATGAAAACAATTTCCCTCCACCACCATGTAACAACAGTTCGTTGGGAAACACACCAAGTGAAACCCCATTTTGAGAAGCTGACTGAACACATGTGAAGAAAGTAAGATCTGATTTAGCAGTACTATGTTTCTGTGCAATTTTTTGGAAACTTATCTCCTACCATTCATGTCTCTCTGTTCCTCTTAGTACTATGATGAGCGCTGTAAGGTAGAAGGGGAAGAAAAAAAAGGGAAAATGTCTCCAGCAAAACACCAGGTATTAAGTTTTAGATGGTAGAGGCTCAGGTTAAAGTAGAGAACAACTCAGTCTGAAACATGAACTGGGTTGTTTAAAAAAACCCTGCTGGTAGGATGCTCTTTATGAAATTTTGTTTTATCCCTGCCGTGATTTTAAGAGCATATAACATCTTCATAAGATTTTCATCTTCTTTAATTTAGTCTGTGGTGTCTACTGATAGATTGTCCCGTATAAACACTTACTTGTCTTCAGCAGGAGGACTTCTAGCAAGTGTGTTTTGCATGAACGCACTTTCCCAGCTGCAATGTTTAAAAGTAGCAGAGATAAACCACTAACAATCCTCTCACAAAATTAAGATTTTTTCCAGTGCAAACTTTCAGGTTAGCTAAGGTCACCAAATTTGACTTGGGAAACTACTGAGGAAGAGGAAAGAAGCACCAGAGCTACAGAAACTAAGAGGTTTTTATCAGAAAAACAAAGATCAAATTTCAATGCTGTTTGTTGAAAGCCTTGAGTGATAGCAAGGAAATTTCTGGGTACATGTCAACAACTGAAAGAAGTAGCTGCCTATTTGAGGCTGCCTGCTTGTTCACTCCATTTTCTCTGAACATTAAATGATTCTCTTGCTCTCTTGCCAAGGCAGTGATACCTGTTTGAAGACCCTGTTGAGCTGAACACTAAAGAGCTCCTGCTGCTCAGGAACCCAGGCAGGCATCAGGAGATGGGTAAACACATACCCAGAGAAAGGCCTGAACAGGAAAAGTTCAAGTCCCGAGAAAATGTAGTGCCTGGCAGTGACATGGTGTCTTCACAAGAACGCTAAAGTCTACAGGAAAACCTGGAATTTTAGGCAGAACCTACATTGCTCTAGAAAACTTATTAAATACAACACCTGTGGTCCCAGACAAGAAACATGCATTTGTAGGGCTGTTTAAGATACTCACAATGGAACAGCAGAAGGATATGAAACTCCAGAGCTATATATTGCTCTTGCTTAAACCCAATCAGTTTTAAATACAATTTGGCCAGTGAATGTGGGATAGCCCAAATGAAGATCAAAGAGGAGAAATTTATAACTGTACCTACCTCTGTGGTTGTCTTTCCTTAAAGTCTCCTTTCTTTGCCACAACAGAAAAAAAATCAACTCCCAAATTTTACTCAGTGTCCTATCTTCTACAGACCATCCACCCCCGTCACTGTATATTCAAATGCACTGTGTGCATTCTTGGCCCATAAATAGACCAGAATATTGTATTGTTTGTCCTATTTATTTAATGCCTTGGCTGAAGTGACCAACTGTCTTTAAAGTAAAAAGGAATGCCCTTCTGTGCTTTTCACCCAACTCTCTGCAAATATTAGCTGGCTCTGACAAACTCCAAACAGAGGTGCTCCTACCTATCTGCTTCCAAACCATGGTGATACTGAACCTGGACAGAGGAGACAGAAAGTAGAGACCAAGGAACTCTTGGAAAAGCAGGAAGAGGAAACATCTCAAACAGATACACACCAGTGGTTCATTTTCCTTCAAGATCTTTTTCTTAAAGCACTTAACAAAAGAATCCCCTCATGGCCAAAGATGCTGTTTGCCATAAAACAGTTCCAGCTCAGCACCAAGCAGGATGGCCACAAATGACCCTGAACAGAATAGAATCCTCATCACATTCATTCCTTGGCACATCTGGTGATTGTAAGTTGAGCACATATGGTATATAATTTCAGGCAGCATTAGATTCACTCTAGCTCTTCATTCCAAATGAGCAACACTCTTTTCTTGAAGACAAAGCTGTGAAAGGAAATTCACCTCCCAGGAAATTTGCTGACCTATCCATATAGGGATGGGTGGGGCTGCACTTACTCTGGGAGTGAACAATTGCTGGCATGACAGTCCCAAAGACTGGCACTCTCTGCTTACCCACAAAAGAAGTGCAGGGAATGACAGTGTAAGCTTCCTGCACAGCATCCCATCAAATGACTCAAAGCTCCATCAGAAGGACCACTGGAGATTAAGGTAATTCACTTTCCATTGCTCATCCCTCTACAGGAACGGAGCCCATTCCAAGCCAGCATCCTGAACTGCAGCCAGTTGATTTCAAACAGCCAAACCCCCTTTGTTTAAGCCTAGTAAGAAACCACTAGATGGAAAGCATTTAAAAGTAGGATCATAAGAATAATCCATTAGGAAATAGGCAAAAGAGCCAGAAAGTGGAAAAGATTACTGGAGTAAAAAGAGACTGTAATACAGATACATCATCTGTGAAGTTTAACCACTCAAAATAGTGCCAAAGTAAAACCTGTCCCCTCTGTCACAGTCTGTGAGTTAGCCAGGGTTAAGTTCCGCTCCTTGCTTTCATTCTAAGTAAGTTGTATTTTGCTGAGGGAAAATGAAAACTCAATTGTGCTAGTTTCTCCCAAGTGACTTAGTGAAACAGGAGGAAGAAGTAATGTCAAAATAAACAAATTCACCTGCCTGTAAATTTCTGGAATAGAGATTTTTTTTTGATTGCTCAGTCTTGTGGGAGACAAGCTGTAGTTTCTTTTACTTATTTAGAAGTTCCTCTCACAGCAAACCAAGAACTAATTTTTGTCATTTTAAAGAGGAGTTTTAAGTAATAGCACAGAGTTCTCTAAGCAAGAATAGTGTTACTATCAACAGCCAGAGTATTGTAATGAAAAAATCTAAGCTGTTTCTTAATCACTAGATTGTAAAAGACGTATTTTTAAATGACACACATGAAAGGCCAACTGATCATCACAGTGAAATCCTCTAGTAAAAGTTGCTCCATATGTTCACTGTAGGAGGGTCTGAGAGAGCAGCTAGTAATTCTGTTTGAAATTTAGAATGGGGACACTTGTGGATGAAGGCCAAACTTCAGGAAAAGATTGAGATTTTACTAATGGCCTGAATACAGCAGGCAATCATCTCTTGCACAACTCTGCCAACTGAACCTCATCCTGACCTGCAGCAACCTCATCTAACTTGGAATATTTACACAGCTGTGTGGAAACACTTTGGAGCGTCCTTATTCCACCTGCTGCTGCCCTGCTGTTGGCTTAGTATCAGGGTTTTGCTGGTGCCATTTGACTGGCTAGCTCAGACTGGCCACAGGCAACTTATAGAGGTCAGACAGCACCCTTGAATCTTCTCTTGCAACCCCATGTTGAATCTTGAAATAGATACATATGAAATAGAATTAGCATTCCTTTTCTCCAGTTAGCAGAGACCAGGGTAACATCCTAACTAGTTCATATTCTCTTCTCCTGTTTACTCAAGAAATGAGTAACACTATTTTCTATTAGATTTTTAAATTGAAAATCAAATTCATTTTAATTGAAAAAAAATGAATTATATCTGATGGAAAGAACCTCTGAAAAAGCTAAAGTTTTATATTTCATATTTTTCTATATTTCTATTATATACCAAAGAAATCCAAGAAGTACTTCAGTATGTGTATTTTTAAAGAAATTAAAACCTCGATTTTCCAGTGAAAAGAAGCACACTTCCAATTTGTAGCAGAAAAAGCCCAAATATGCAGTTCCACAAACTTAACTATTCTTTTTTCATTACCTCTGATAGTCATGGTATGTCTGCACACAAGTAGACCTAAGCAAGTAATTCTGATAGTAAAATTGAGAGAAAACCTGCAGAAGCCCACTTCTCTCACCAGGAGTTGCTCAACCAGCCCAACAGCTGAGCAATGTGAAGGCTCAGTGCCAGGAACTCTGGCATGGTGTTCTGACAGACAGTCAGCTGAAGTGACTGGGAGTTGGACATTCCCCTCTGAGGCTGCCCTCCCTTCCTCTGCCAACAACTGCATTTAGCTGCATCTCCAGGATACTAAAACTCCACGAAGCAACTTTGTCTACCTAACTGGGTGTAAGGAAAATGAATCAATAGTGTCAATAAAATGTTCTGCTTTTTAATCTGTATCTGACATAGCTTTTATAGATGCTTTGGAAACAGAACAAAATAATAGAAGATAAATGGAGAAAGGCTTGTTGACTCACTAGACCATTTGACTGTTCCAAAGCTATGGAGACAAAGGTAGGAGAACAGTTTTATTTAAGTAACTTTGGAGCAAGAAAATGACATAATTCCTACTAGCCTCTGTAATGGCAGCTCCTCTACGAATGAAACAGTTACCTTCATCATGATTCTGGTGCAATATGACCTCTGGCTGAGCATGTATAGAGTTCCCAGGGTGGAAGAAAGGTGTGAAGAGCATACGAGCTTTCCTTTGCTTCAGGATATGCTGAAGGAGTTCATACAAAACATCACCTGGAAGACAAACAGCAGGAAAAAGGAAATGAAAATGTACATAACTGATGAGAAGGCTCATTTAGCCATCTGATGCAGGAATTCATGGCTCCTGGGTGCTATTTTCAGACCCAAAAATGCTAGCAGTAAAATCCTGCATTCCACCTGTATGCAAAGTTCTCCTCTGAAAGGAAAAAAAGGCACATCACACCTCTGAATGTGACTGACAAAACAGAACGACATTCCCTGGCACTATAATTGTTGTATCTTTCCTTAATGGAACCTAACACCACAATATCCAGGAGACCAGTGGACGAACTGCTTATTTTGTGCCTTTTATAAATTACATCTTGTATGGATGACCTTATTCCAACACCTACATGAAACATGTAAGGTACTTATGCATTTGGTCTGGTGTAACTGGCTGCACATTTCAAAGTGAAATTGTACATCACAGGATAGCAAGTCTTCTGACTTTTCATTCTGCCTGCTCTTTTGCTTGTCACTGCTCATATTACAGAGGAACAGGTTGCAACAATTACATATTATCTGAAAAGGAAGTTAGTGAAGTTTCACTTAGGAAACCTTAGACTTTCTGGGAGAGTTTTCTCAAACATGGGGTTTTTTTAGTAGTTCTTTCTATGAGACTGTAAGCTTTTGCACCATTTATTCCTCATCTCTATAAACTGTGGGTATTCTAATTTGTGGGCAACTTGCATTTCTTGTTGTGAAACAGTTAAAGCCATAATGCTTTCCATAGTTCAGCTTCCTTTATTTTTAACATCTAGGCTGCTTTTACTGTCTCAGCAGTGACTTTAGGGCATTTTTAAAAGGTGATTGCAATACCTGAAAAGCTAATTAAAAATGAAGTCTTGAGCACCCAGTCACATGAAAGTCTAAAAAAGTGATTTTACCACATAATTTCCATCACTGAACACAACAGTAGCATAATCATAAATAACTAGTGCTGAAACACTCCGAGCAATAAGGTAGGAAATTTGTACCTCTTTTGATTGGCCAGACAGACTAGTGAAAAGATCCATAAAGCTGTCTGCATTTTTTTTTTTTTTTTTACCTAATGAAATAGCTGAGACTTCTGCATCACCCAGATGCAGCAATGTTAAGATGGTGAAAAACATTTTGTACTCCCTCCCTCCTCTGCTGCCTCACTTCCCTGGGCAGCCCTGAACAGAACAGCTGTGGGGCTGTCAGCTCCCTTCTTGGCAAGACTGTGGGAGTGGATGCCCTTCTCCTGCTTTAACCGTGAGGGGAAATGGTACAGCTTTTGTGTGGCTTCAGTCTGGAAAAACTTAATGCCTCTGTGGCAAACATTATTTCACAGTTCTTAAATTTCATGTACAGTTAATTCTGGGAAATGCTGAGGCAATGACCCTTTACGTACAGTTATCTAAATTTTTAGGGACTGACTCAGATATCCTCCACAAGGTTTATTATCAGTGGGGAATACCTGGAAGGAAGGAAGAGACAAAATGCAAGGGAGGAAGCCTTTAGCTAGGTTATTTTGTTCCAAATTCAGCTTAACCTTCTGAATAAAGTGAGTCTTTGCAAGTCAGAGACTCTTCTCTAGGAACACTCTATTTCCAGCCTAGAAACATTTTTAATCCTGCTTATTTCAACTGTCCTCACAGCATACAAGGGGAAAAATAGGAGCATAATTTGCAGGCAGGAAGGGGAGTAGACAACATACATAAAGGTGTCCTTTGCAGTCCTTGCTTTCAATACTCCTTTTGCTTCTAGCAGGGCTAATTTCTACACTCCAAGTGCTGTACCAGTATTTAAAAAGAAAAAAAAAAAAAGAAAAAAAAAAAAAAAGAAAGACATTTCTAGGTATTAGTTCTCACTAATGTATTACAGTGATCTTCCATACTAAATTAGTCCTGGATTTAAAGCACATTCTTTAAAAACTTTATACACACTGAACATAAGCAACAGTTTGTGAGGCAGATGATTCTGCAGGAGGATGCTTGTGGAGAGTGGCCAAGCAGGTTGATGCAGAATTAGACCCACAGCTTGATTATCAGCTGGATCTCAGCAGCACCAGCTGTACTCCTGCACCATGTGAGCCTTGCACTGGAAGCCTCCTCACAGCAATTCTGTCACCACTTGGTCCAAGCTCTTTGATCACCTATAGTGATTGAAGTGCAAGCCTTTTTATTTAGCAGGAATACCTCATGTGGTCACAAAAAACGAAGCTCACAACTTAGATTTAGTTAAACACCCTTGACAAAGGAGGGCACAGGCTTACTTTGAGTGTAAAACTGGAGCAGACAGACCACAGAGGATACAAATATAGGCAGGCAACACACACATTTCTAAATCTCCTTTGTGAATAAATGAAGACATAATCTGAGCAATAGGCAGACTGATGTACACACCTGTCTGTGCTGAGGACTGGACTCCAGCACATGTGAGAATAGGGTAAAGAAAAGCAAATCCCACAGTGGCTGTTAGAGGCAAAGTCCCCAAGGAAGGAGTTTTACAGTCACTTTTAGCAGCACCTCAGCCAAGACAACTGGGATGTAAAATGCTAATATGGGCTGCTTAAAGAGGCTGGAGCACTTGATTAACTTGCTGCTGTAGTTGGGTCTGTGAACAGATAAGCCTTTACAGGGAAGAGCTGGAAGTCACAAAATGCTGTCAGAGCAGCCTGCTTTCTGGGTTCTCTGCAGGGAGTTTTAACTATAAACAGGTTGGATGTTTGGGTTTGAATTTGCATTCAAATATGCCTACAACTCAGGTGTATCAGGATTTCCCTCCCTCTCTGTCCTTTTTGTCCTTGCCTCATACAAGTGTTTCTGTCCTCCCTTTACCCTCCCTCTCCCAGTCCACCCCAGCAAAGGTAACCATTCCTCCTCTGACCCTCTTCAGCTTTTACTGCAGCTTCCTCTCTCTTTCCAATAGCAGCTTTTGTAAATAATTCTCACCTGAATGAGGGGACCTGTATCGAAAGTCCTCTTTGGTCAGGAGCAGCAGAGCTTTGCCGTTCATCTCAAAGGTGTTGCTCTCAATGGGCCTCAAGGAAAACTCCTTCTCTGCCCACCGGAGCCACTGGGCCACATCTTCCCTGCTCCAGTAAACCGGCTGCAAACCTGTGCCAGAAAAAGACCACAGTTCTGTTACCAAATTGATACAAGGCATGGGAACACAGGCAGACATTACTGAATCTCCCCCTTCTCCCCACAGCATAACATACAAAGTCTCAGGAAACTGTGGGAGAGGAATCTCATGTTTGTGCAGGATTACTCTAAGCACTGGACTGCGAAATACTTTGGCACTTTGGTTTATCTGTGACATACTGAGAAGTGAGAACTGCCTCAGCATCCTGAAGAAAGCTCACAGGACACTGTTTCAGTCCAGGTTTCCACTGTGCAAAAGGATTTTCCTCCATGTGCTCCTTCTGATGCGCGAAACAGGCAGCAGGCAAAGTCCCGGGTTCCATCCATCCTTGGTGTGTATCCTTTCATGGAAGAGAGGTGTGCTCTCTCTTCACACCCCTTGAACATTCAAGAATAATGAAAATATCAAGATCAAGAATAATGAAAAGCTGTCAAATCCAAGAGAGCCATGGCTTCTCTAGGTGGCTGAGATGGGGTCTGTAAGGAAGGGTTGCTTAAACACAGCTCCTGTAACAGTGTGATTGCAGAACATGTATTATTGAGAGAGGTGTATTCAGACAGGCCCACACCTCCTCCAGGTGCCATTATGTGAGCAGGTGCCATTCTCACACTGGAGAGAAAAGCCAGACCCAATATTGTGCCACCTTTGGCACTGCTTTAGCCCGTGTTTCCTGTATAGCAATCAAAATTATCAGTGTAACCAGGTCCATGTAAAAGGGTATAGCATTTTTAATAAAATAGTAGGGATATTTGGTTTGAGGACAGATTTTCCAAAATGCCAAGGAGAATCTGGCACTCCCTTTCTGCCAGCCAGCTCATACAGCTTATACAGCCTAGGTTATTGTGTTTACTCACAGAGGCCCAACCACACTACCATCAAAGACATTTTGCCTGCTACCTTCATTGGGCCCAGGCAGAGAAGTTTGGGAGGTATGACAGTTCAGTATCTGTTCTACACACAAATTTAAAATAGCTTCCTTCCCCTGACGAGAAGGCAGCATGGTGAAGAGCTGTTTATACCCAAGTAGAGAGATTATCTCCAATCCAATGGGCAATAAAAGCTTTATTTTCCTTTCCCCCTCGTGAGATGACTCATTGTTTGACTTGCTATAAAGCTTACCCACTGTGCATAGGAACATAAAATTTGCCATATCTGATCAGACCGCTGCTACACAGCCTCTGGCAGGAGCCAGTACCTTATGCTTTGGAGGAAGATGAACCTCCCTTCCTTGTATTGCACCTGGCTGATTGTATGCTGCACATGGGAAGAAATTTCCTTCCTGGCACACCATTCTCTGAGACCTGATTACCCTCCTCCTACCAAGCACTAAAAGAAGGCTGTGAGAGTTGTACCACTCTTGTTTTGGTTTGGTTTTTACTTCTTTAACAGATAGGCAACCCTTTTATTTCTGTTTTAGCAAGAGGTAACATGAAGTGAATTGCATTCTGCTGCTTTGCCAGATTCCCAGACAACAGCTTTGTAAAGTCCCAGAGCCACAGCTACATACAGAACTGAATCTCTGTCAGAAGAGGAATTGAGATTGTGCCTGAGAAAGGGTCAGAGCTGACCTAAGAAAGGGATTCTGCATGGCCATAACAAGAATTTCCATTGGTTTTCAGCTGTAGCATACAATTGTACTATAGAAACAAGTAGTAGCTCTTAATTATTTATGAAGTAATTTTTCTTCCCCCTGTGAATTAGAGTCTACTTATTGAGGTCAAAGTTTTCTGTAGGACCTTTTTTTTTGAAGGGACTGGATTGAGGTGTAGATTTGCTCACAGACATGGAAACTGTCATCTAAAATGCCAGTGAGGTTCATCTTTTGCTGAATAAAGGGCTATTCCTTCAGAAAATACACTCCAGACCCCAGGCTGTTGCTGTAGCTAAAAGAAAGGTGAGATATGATGCAGGCAGACCACAACATATGAAAGGGTTTTACAAGACCATCTGAGAAGTGCTTAAAATGCTCATGTGTGACTCCCTTTGCCTTCCTCTTTGCCATGCCAAGCAAGTAATAAATTGCCCAAAGGAGAACTGTTGTGTAGAAATCTAACTGGCCTTCTGACGTGCATTTTGTCTGATGAGGCATGAAACAAAAGAAAACATCACTGTGAAAATCAGGCTGACAAGGACAGAATTGTACGATAAATTCACATGAGGTGTGTGCTCCCTTAAAAATAACAATGTAATAAATAAATCACTCCCTGTACAAATACAGATCGACATTTCCCACCTGAAGGGAATTTTTGCCTTCTGTTCAACTACTACAAAAGTACCGTGTCCAAAGAGAGCTTTAGATTGATCAGTGCTAGACCCAAAACAGATAAGATACAGAGACTGAGACAAGCCCCATGAGCTGTGCTGACAGCTCTGAAACAGACCCAACACTTCACACTACAAATGAGGTCTCTGCTGGGTTTCAGCAGCACCTCTGAAACTTGTGAGAAAAGCCCCAAAGTAATATGACCTAGGACCACTTGGCTTGAAATTACTGAGAATCAGCAAGCAGCCACTCTAATTCAGTTTGGCTATGGCTAAACTGAGTGAGGTAGATTTGCTACATCACTTCACCCCTGGGGTGATCCCACAATTAAAATCCTTACATTATGTTTGGAAAACATAAGGTACCATAAAATAAGTAAACTGCTTTTCCCTAGATGGATTTCTTATTCTCTCACTTCCCTCCCTC